CCCATTTAAATGCTACACTACTGCATGCCAGACTGAAGATTTTCTGGTGTGCGTGTATTAGGCTTCGCAGGCTTAAGCCAGCTGTCCGTACACATCCGCACACGTTTTACCCCCATTGTCGCTATCACCACCACCGGCACGCAAATCTTCCCCATACCACAGACGCAGCTCGCTGTTAGCAAAGACACATTGAGGCTTCTTTGAGGCACAGAACACCAGGACTGACGAGGAAGAGCTGTATCCGGCCAGTTTATACGATCCACTGCCATCAACTGTTTTCGCTTCTGGAGCAAGTATCTTGTTGTTCTGATCAGTCAAGAGCACATGCAATGCTCCGTGATTTGGTTGACATCCCCAGTAACTGTAGGCGCGTTTATTACATGACACTTTTCCCGAGCGGTGCACTAGCATGAACGAGCTCACGAAGATGTTTCGATGGTAGGAAAAACGACCATACTGGTTTCCCTTGGCGCCAAAGCAGACGGGCGACTTGTTTAGTTTCACCCAGCGAGGACAGGTCCCTGATGACGCTTCAGTAGGAATGGGAAAAATCGCCAACATTATGGCCAACATCAGAAATTTGAATTCCATTTCTTGAATTTAAGTTAAAAAAGAATAAATTAGAAAAATATGAATACAAGGACATTATTTTCGTTTAAACATTTTTTTCGTAACATTGTCCGGGCATTTATTCTTTTTTCGCTTCCACGCATGTGAATTTTCATCTGGTTCTTCTGTAACTTACAACTCATATTTACTAGGTTTATAAACTTTTTCAGGGGCACCCAACGAGGACATAGCTCAAAACCACTTAAATATAGCATTGTTCAACGTATTTTAGTATTTAAACGGTAGATATGGGCATATTTTTATCCCCTAAAAATTTTTCATCTGTTCGGATTTCCTAGCTGAAAGTCTAGTGATCCGAAAATTATAGGGATCAAAAGTTACCTTGTCGAAAATTTCAGCCAGAAAAAAGGCTCCCGAAAATTCTAGGTGACCTTTTAAGGGTAAAAATACGTTAAAAATGGGCAATTATACCATTTTTTAGAAGTTCGAAAATCCTAGGAGAGGCAGGCAAGCAAGAAATTTTACAACAAATGTTCCGAAAATTCTAGATCTCAAATCGTCTTCCGAACAGACATTTCCGAAAATTGTCGTTGGGTACCCCTGGAGTTTGTTTATTCTCTCAATTCTCGACGATGATTTAATATAGTCGTGCACAAAGAGAACAGGTTGAATTTCGAAGATTTTTATGTCATTGTTACTCCCTGTTAGGACATATACCGTCGCTACTGCATCCAAAAAAGTAACAGTGATCACTTTCACCTTTAATTTGTCATTGTCGTCTTAAGATAAAAAGGTTTTCATTTTCTGTTGTCTAGAATAAACAAAGCAAATTTTATAACATGTTTGCCTTCTGAGAAACCACGTGACATCACTTTTATCCCATCAGTCCTTAAGCGCGTTCAAAGATGGCGGGTGTCGTGGATAGGTCCTGTTATTTTAACATTCATTCAAATATTTCCTGGTTTAAAAATCAAGCTGAAACCGTGACATGCTTAATACCTCTATTGATGTTAATTTTCTGTCTTCACTCGCCTGTTTCTCGGAAAGTTAAGGATATAAAGGCATACAAACATTAACCACAAAGGACTGCAAAGGACCGCGAACGAATATGCCGAAGAACGTAGGATCTATAAAGACCTGATCAGCAAAAATGAAAATAGACATATTAAATTCTGCAAGCAGAATACTGCAGTGCTGATCGTACTACGTAAAAATTAACTCTGCAAGAGTTAATTTTCACGTAGTACGATTAGCATTGCAGTATCCCGGGGTGCAGTATTCTGCTTGCAGAATTTAATACGTCTATATGGAGGGATGTTAAGTTCTGCATATCAGTTCTCCAAGTAGCACATGTCATCTGTCGAGTTGCTCTTGCTGTTCTTACTATGCTTTTAGGCAGTAGGTCGGCTATTTCGTCTTCTACAAACGTGAGAAATGTCACGCCATTTTGTAGTGCTCTCTCCTCCCCAGGGCTTCTCGGTTACCGTCCATCTTTCAAGCATTAATGCTGTACTATCAACGTCATTTTCCAAATACCGCAAACTTCTCCTAAAATTTGGTCAAGGCTAGCTGGCTATGGAGAATTAGCTTGGGATTTGAGCCAATCAGAAACGGAAAAATATTTTGAATGCAGGAGCCCATCACGAGCCCATTTGGTGGGCTCCTGATAAAGCAGGTTTTTAGTAACAGAAACTTTCATGGACCTAACTAGTCTTTATATAGTTATATTAAGAGTATTTTTCGCCACTATTTTATGATCTGTTAAGTCGGTTAATTTAGTAATTTTTTTTATTAACTACTCGTTTTGTGGAGGAGTGTGTGGCCGAGTGGTTAACACGTGTAACTCCTGATCTGGAGGTC